CACAAACTGGGGCAATGGGAAGTTACAATATGTCTGTTTGAACAAGGATGAAAAGAGCACTCAAAAATAGACGACCTACAAAAACTGTTTGAAAGAGCTGACATCCCTCCTGTGTGGACTGAGGGGGCAGGAACACAAATGCTGCCCAATGGCCAAAGCTGACCTCTGGCCAGGACAGAGAGAAACAAAGAAAAGTCTGACCAGGTAATTATTATGGTCAGGTAGGATGGATGGGTGTATTGAAAGGGCAAACAGGGCCAAAGAAATAAGTGATTTATTGGTCAACTTTGTTTGACTGAAGTGGGCCAAAAATGTAGCACCTGGTCAAGTGTGTGGGTGAGGTCTGGGGGGCAGGAGTGATACACCCAATATGAGGGGATCAAGGTTGCCCCTAGGGTGTCACAGGATACAACATCAAAGTGAAGTTTGGTCTCCAAAGGCTGCAAAGGAGAACCTGCATTGAAACATTGTACCCACACACCCACACAAATGTCCGACACCGCCCTTCTGTCTTTGAGGTGACCTGGGCCACCTTCTGATGCTGTGATGGCCATTTTCGGCAACACCTTTCCAGATGTTTCCTGCAAGAACAACAGGCACTTGTCAACACCTCTGCATTAAGATGCCAAAATCTGTTTGGGATTCAAACAGCCATGTTCCGCCCCAGGGCACCCAGAAATTTGCCAAGCAGGCAACTTGATCCATATCACATTATATGTCTAACCTGCCAGGCGAACTCTCTGTCCTTATACTGTTGAAGGTATGAAACATACTTGTATTAATGCAGAATGTGTTTGTTTCAGTTTGGGCCCTGGGTGGTTTTTGTTCCTGTAGTCACAAATTATATCTCAACACCATATGGGATTCAATAAATTGGGTAACAGCTGCAAATAGGAGGAAATTGTTGGGAACTTCCTTCAACATTTTGGAGGACCTTCAAGGAAAAAATCCCCAGACGTGAAGACCCTCTGAGTACCAGTGCTCTTCCTTAAAGAGGAAATTTGTCACAATTATAAATCTGAAATTTCCTGATGTGCTGATATGTTAATGAATTTGGTCATCTTTCAACACCTCTATTCATGAATATAAAGAGGACTTCAAGCACGTACAATGTAAGTCATCACCTGACCAACTACACTTTGGGGAGTTTCACAAATAATAAGCAAGGCCAAATTTTTTAGGTCTGGGTACACTGAAAAATAAACCAAACTTTGCTGAACAGAAGTTTCTTATTTAAAAGTTAATGGATTGCTGTTCCAAAGTTTGATTAGCAACTACCTCTCTCAATTTCTCCTAGATTAAAGTTTTTGCTCAGATGAATCAGTTCCCAGCTTTGGGTTTGTCAAATATCTGCACTACCTTTAGACTGTCAAAAATCAGTTATCAGTCGAAGCCAACTACGAATGTAGGCTTGTCATGATTTTGCAGCACCAGTTAACTGCTCACAATTGATGCTGTATGATTTCAACTGGTAACCAGAATTTGCATTTGGGCCAAAGGTATGCACTTCTGCAGAGAACTTACATGTACACGTACATTCTTTGCCAACACAAAGACAGTCTTCTGATGGTCACTGTTCTTTCACTCTGTACCCAGTGCCTCCCTAGCTTGATTTTACGAGGTCATTGAACCCCTAACCTAATTTCAGCAATTAGATTTTTACAACTCATCAGGGACTTGCAGCTAATTTCATAAAACAAATGAGAGTTCTGGGAAAAGTAGAGCAGAGTGTAGGGGTGAAAAGTTCACTGGCCACTAGGGCTGATAGCCACTTCAATTGTTCAGGACAGAGTAGTGTCCAGCATGGTAGTTTTACTGTACATAGAAATGGGATTAAAGATCGAAAGCAGTACACAGATAGTCAAGTCTTGTCTCTCGCAGTGTTCCAAGAATTATTGTTGATTCTGGCATTGTAATCTAAGGCTTTTCTGTTTTCCTTTTGGGGAAGGAGATGACAATGTTTCCATGATGTTGTTTTTAACTTCATTCATTGAGATTAATGCGAACATCACATAACTTGAAAGTAAAGTATGCGACCTTAATAATATGCCAACTTCAGCATAAGCATAATAGATTCAAACCTTCTTTTTCAAATCACCAAGCTACTTTTACCAATGCTCATGCTGTAGCATTTTCCAACCGTTTTTGTCAATACCGCCAACAAGGGAGGTTTATTTGGCCTCAATTGGAATGCTGGTGAAAAAAAATTTTGTGTTGGTAAGTTGACAGGTCCTCAAGCGATGCCCAGACTTTGCAGTTTACCCCAATATAACGCTATTATAAACTAACCCTATGTGTTACTACCCCCTGGATATTAACATGTGAGCACTTTGAGGTACATGTACATATGGTCAGTGGCATTCTCTGGGGAGTGACTCCTACACTGATTAAGCATCAGGCAGAAATCACTGCAACGACTTAAGATGTGAGAAAATCTGCTACTGTATAATGCCCCTGGGTTCCTATCCACTAGATTCCACATACATCTATCTCACTTTACACGCTGTCAATAGAAATACACATAGCCACTCAAGTAAGGAAAGTTTAAAACATACACAGTCCACAATCGGGTCTTTCGAACTTGATTATTTATCACAAAATTACTTCAGTCTCACATTCCCAGTCTGGAAACCGCCTTCATCTGTAGGTACTTGATGGAAACTGTGAGAACACAAATTTGGAAATTCAACCCAACCAGCACATTTCCACCAAGCAGAATGTTTACCAGCGCGACTTCCCATCAACTTCAATCCCTCCTCTAGGGCTGATATTAACTCCAACTCGCAGCCAGAAAATGCTGTCAATTGGGGAAGGACTCACCGGGGAAATTACCAGAGGTGCTGGCTTCAATCCGTCGCTAGGTTATTAAATGAATAAATTCACTCAGAGGAACAGGGGAGTGAAGAGGGGGAAAGCCAGCAGGATTGATTTCTCCCAGGAAAGACTGAGAAAGTGTAGATGATTTGAAGCTGCTAATGGCATCATCAGATTACAGCATTCCTTGAGTGGACAATTTAGTGAATCAAATCGAATAAAGCTGGCAAAATAACCGAAATCTATTTCACAACAAACACAAATTTCCTGTTTTTCAGTATGCAGTGATTCAACAAGACGTCATTAAAAAATCAATAATTTTCTTTCACATTTTTCAAGACCAAAAAAGCAGGAAGGTTCAGAAGCATACCAAAAAGTTTAAAATGGTATGAAGAGGGAACACTGTATAAATACAAGAGTAGTAAGAGTTCAGACGGAGTTGCGTTAGTATTGATGTGACTTTTTGAGGAAATTCTTAAATCTGCAGACAAGGAAGTGACTGAGAGAGAGAGAAAAAAATCCAAATTTGCAAAGACTTTTGTAGTTTTCCATGGGAAGGAAATAAGGAGAAAAAAATGCCTGAAACAGTGCATGGCACATTTTCAATTTAGCCCAATTCTTCACTGAACATGTTCATATTTCCTCAGTGAAATGGATGAAATGGCTTAGCAGAATGAAAGCACTAGAAAGTTTGGTCCAAGGCTCACTGCTTGATGAACAAGCCATTTTATCGTGCTTCACATCAATATCAATGATAACAAGTAAGAGGCAAAAAAAAACACCAAAGTAAAAACACTTCGTTAATATCCATTCCAAGTGGGCATATCAGACATTGGTCACACTCCCCAAAGTCCACTTCGGTAGCTGGTCATTTGCGAGCAATCTATCAAATACATCAAAAGCTGATGGATCTGCTCCATTAAAAGAGTATTCACTCATCGGTGAAATGACATAACCGCATGACGGAGTGCATTATGATCAGGTTCATTTCTTGAAAGGCAAATAATCTTTGCTATTTTTAAGTTCAGAATCTGGGCTAATTTTATGCTTTTTCCATCCTTTCGCTTTTCCTTAGTCCCTGGCTCCATTTCAACCCACATCATTCTGAAGCCCTGTTTACACCCGTCAGCTACTGGTTTGCTTATAAAATAAACATTTGTGATAAGTAACATCTTTGCTGTGTTCCAAAAAAAAAAATTCAACACACATCTGACAGAGCGTGTTTGTTTGGTTTTTTGGTTGGTTTGTTACTTTTTTCTCTTACCTGCTACAAAACCAGAAACATATTCTGCTTATTCTTGTTTAAATGGATTGACAAATAAACCTTCTCTTTCATTCACCTTTATGCCCCTTTCCTAAGTAAATCCTCTCGTGGTAACGGTGAGAGACGGAATGAGGCAATGCAAGCTGATCACAATGTGCACAGAAACCTTTACTCTTGACCTCATGATGAGTACACCGCTTACACTATCTCAATCTATCTCAGCTTTGCTGCTCGGAATATAGGGCTGAGGAAACCTATGAAAAGAACTGGTCAGGTCTACCCTAAACACTGAATCAATATGCTGGCCGCAGATGTTCTCCAGAATAATATGCAGCCTAGTTCACTAGCTCATTCACAGAGAGGGATGTCCCATGCGACAGCAATGGCAGGGCAATGAACACTATCCCTTCAGCATGAGGCGACCACAGTGTTGTCTTAGGCCGTCTGTTTTGAAACCAAGCAGAGGATTGTTTTGGTCTGGAAATTCAAGGAGCGTGATTCATTTGATTAAAGGGATGTAATCAGCAGAGTGAGCTTACACTTGGATTTCTAAATGGGCAAAACTTCAGCAATGGGACAAACTCTTACACTACTGCCACACCAAACAGGCAATGCCGATAGTTCAGGAGGATATGTAAGAAAAGAAACCTGCTATGTATCAGAAAGCCATGCTTGCACAAGTCTTCTGGTTACATAAATCCTTCCTCCTTTACTTCTGTGTAAGCAATTAAAGTTATAGAAGTACATGTAGTTATAAGTAGGAGTTATGCATTACTCATTGACATGTAAACGTCTTGTCATCAGGTTCTGTTACAAGCAGACCAAGGAGAAATCTGTGACTAATTTGTTCATTCCCATGAATATTTAAATCAATGGTCAGATTAATCACTCTTACACATATTCAATACTGTATCTAACATACCTGCAGTGTGTGGTATTCTTCACGTTCCCTGTCCAGTGCATTGTCTGTTGTAGTGATCACACCTATAAACAATCAATCAAGGTAAAAAAAAATAAGCAAAACATTCATTTGGATTCCTTCATTCAAAAGGTAATTTTTAAAATCTATCCTAAAACAAATCATTAATTAATCTTTTTAAATTTGTAGAGTAATTACCATGGTGACTGATTTAAATGAACAGCATTTTTTTTAATTATCTAAAAAAACAAGGTAAAAGTTCACAAGTGGATTTTCCACTAGGTGCATCAATGTTAATCTAGTTGATCATAATGGTAATTAGAATGGGCTCATAACTGGAATAAAGATTACATAACTCAGTGGTATTAGGGGATGGATTCCTTTAGTGCAATCAATAGTTATGCATTACAAGTAGGCTACCAGGAAATTATCTCCAGACAAGAATGAGAATGGGGCTTGGTGTGTGTACAAATGCAGGGAAATCTCAACTTGTCTATACTGGCAAGTGTTGAAATTATCACCTTGATGGGCAAAAGATCAACAGAAAACAGGGTGTTATCAGAGCAAAGGTGAGACAAACGAACACTTTTGAGGGGTCCTGAGTCACACTAGTGATTAGTAGGGTTGTTTGCACTGTCTGGAAATGTCAATGCGGCATTTACTGATCTCTGAAGCAGAACTACATAATATTTGCATTAGGAACAATAAAATGTGCAGGAATATCATCAAATTGTTTTAAAAGTTCACCAAAACATCAACTAATTTACCCACTGCCAGTGATATGGAGCACTTCAGGATTTTTTAACCTGACAGTGAGCCATGATTAATATTGCTCTCAATGGAAAGACCCTTGTTCTGTCCACACACGGTGAACGTTAATCATTGATAGAATAGGATATGGTAGATTTGATGTGTACTCTGGTATTGAGCCATCTAGATGAAAGCTACATTCCAGGAAAGAAGTTTGTGTTGTGCCATGCCCTTCTATCCCAAATCCCTGGTCAATGACATGTTAACAGGATTCATTTGCATATTTTACAAAGCACAATCATTGGTATCGTACTGTATTGTGTTGGCATACAGTACAACTACATGTACATGAACAACAAGTTGAGGTGAATTCAACATTTTAAATCAAGACTTCTCAAGATACAGGTGATTGATATGCTTCCTTTCTAGATAAGAAGATTACCTTTGAACTAACAGACTCATAAATAGGAAAAAATGACCACATATTTTTATGTGGGTACATTTACACAATGTACACTCTACATCAATCAGACATACATGTACACTATACATGCATAAAGTTTTACAGGAGAAAAAGAAGTACATGTACACAGAACCACAAGGCTCTTATTTCACATCCATCCCGGTGCCTATGTACGAGTACAAACATTTACCAGTAACATTGCAAAAATACCAATACCAGAAGGCTGTGTGCACTGCAACATTCTGGTCAAACCAATGCCCTGTATTTGATTTGCAGCACAGAGTCCAACGCACTGCCTCTAAAAGATGTCAATCAGTTGACTCCAAATACATGAACTTCCAGATGCATCTTTCATTTCAACTCCCTAATCCGGGTCCTGGGTTAAACACGACCAACACCAAACAAAGGCATGTTCCTTGGCCATGTGCCCAAAGAGTTGCCCAATACAGCCGAACGCAGCCATGAAACATCTCCAGCTTGAGTGCAGGAGAGAATGAGACAGACAGGTGTGCAGTGGGAGTCAGACTAATTACCCCTGGCAGTTTGCTGGAGGGAGGTCGCCAGCTCAGTTTCATACTCCAACCACCCAAATCATGAACTTGAAGCTAGGGTTTCCTCTCCTCCCTCTTTCAATGAGGCCAACCAGAGTGGCTAGGGGACCCAATATTCTTTCCAGACGCACATGGGGAATTGACATTAGAGGAAATGAGAAAAAATAGCACTTGGCTGTGGTTGGATGGGCCTGACTACAATTTAATAAAGACACTAATGAGTTTCAAGGTCTTGTTCCTGGTGTGAAATCCTACTGTTACAAGCGTATGTATCACATAGCAAACCTCCTGCGACTGTCATTCAATTCAGCACATTCAGTCATTGTTCTGTCTAACGAAATGAGCCAGAAGCGTCTCATTCAGGTTTTGGGTCCATAACATTTATAAGCACTACATGTACATACATTCCCCGGACATTCGTTTATTTTTCCTTTCAGCTGAAACCGATTCGGCTGAATTTTATACAGAGAGAAAACCATGACCTATTGTGACTTCTCACATATTTGACTTTGGCTTTAGTCTTGTTTCATACATGTACATGCCGGCGGTTTTTACATGTACTTGTGTATGAATGGAACTGAGTTGTTAATATGAAAGGTTTTTTTTTTTTAGTTTAGTCAATAATTCCCTTCCTTTGCCCTCACAAACATTTCAGTCAAGAGCATTTCTCAAAACCAGCTGAAATTCTAGAGAGTGAAATGCTCTTCAAACCACAAAAGCTGCAGTGTCAGAGTTCATTCACTCAAGAGTGTTTACAAACTAAACTGTACAACAGCCCCAAGTTGAGTTTGACATTTCGACAAGCCCACTCAGGGCATGTCATTGTCAATTGAATGCTCTCCCTTAAGCCCTTGCATAACAAAGTGTACTAAATAAAATTTCACTGGAGAAAGTAGCATGGAGAATCAACTGTACAGAAAGCGATGTGAAATGTAACGGCAACTTCAAGTTCAACTGGGGAATGTGTGTTAAATTTGTGTCCATTCCCAATATGGCATGTATTTGAGAGGACATTAAGAATATTTAATAGGAAGTTTTGAAGAGCAGTTCTGTTGATTTCAAACCTACCCACGCACACGGTTAAGAAGAAACTGTTGTTATGCCATGTGTATTTTGTAGCCATATGAATAAGCAAGACACTGCAGTCTTTCAGTCAATAAAATGCTTTCTCCCCATCAATTTTCATGACAGTTGTCCTTTGTGCAATCCATGTTCCCAGCAAGTATTCCACTGCTACTGCCAAGTTGGCAAAGAAGTTCTTCCCTAAGAACACAAAACCCAAGCAAACAACACAGGTACATGTGGTTCATGTAGGATCACTCTTAAACAACAACCATGACACAAAGGACAACATCAAAACACCTACGCATCACTCCTAGACTAGGAAACAAATACAAAATCAGGACCCTTCCCTTGACACCTATCACCAGTGAACTCTCAACCCCTTTCTGGAGAGCTACTGGAAGAGTCTGGTCACAGACCCAAGTCCCCTAACCTCAGTAAACAAAGCAGGCCAGTGATTTACAACAGTTGCAGGTTATGGTCTGAACATAAAAAGAAAACCAGCCCAGACCTTGAACTTGGTAAGGAACCAACACAGCCCAGGTGCTGAGGAAATGGTCAAAAACAATCTCTGTGAGCAGGTATTTTATTTTTACTGTTGTTTGGTCAAGTGAGGTGTATAATCGTTGGAGGGTCGTTATCCGTCAAGTTTGAGGTAGTGCAGGTACACATTTTTCCCTGATTACCCTTGATGGTGAAACTTGTTTTGCCTTGGGAGAGAATTATGAAGTGTTAAGTATCAATATGGGATTGGGCTACTGACTGCTTCAATATTGACAACCTCAGCAAATTTTTAACTTTACAACTTCACAAAGTTACAGTGATCAGAACATCAAAAAGTCCCTGTTATCCCTAACAATCCACAGTCAATAATTCCACACAGGATGTTAATGTTTAACATGTCCAAGCTGTGCAAATACAGTCTACTTTTTAAAATGATACAAATGGACCACCCCATCCAATATTCACCAATTATGATCAATTTCAATTTTAAACCCTAGAACCAACAACCTACAAACACATGTAAGGGACAATTTACTTTGTTGAATGTATGCAACTGATCTTTTGGGCCCCCAACTACCCACACTTCCAAGAACAGGGAAAAGCACCATTCCTGTCAGGACAGTCAGTCAACAAGGAGATCTAAACCACACAACATGCTGATTTGATGGCACCCTGCAGATAATGTTATTGGTACCAGACCAGTGTCCTCATGCCCAGCAGTGGCTGAGGACACTGGACTAGAGGAATAAACCTCAAGGTTTTTTACTGGCAAAGGGTTTCTTTTTTTTTTACAGTGACAGAGCAGGGACTGTGGTGGACAGCAAGCTGTTTTTCAAGTTCAGCGCCAGTCTCACCGACAACAAAAAGGGAAGAGTTGGAGGTTGTCATAACATCGCGCAGTCTGGCAGAATTTGGAGTGGAGACTAGATGATTCGTGGAGATAAAGGGCTTAACGCATACCATAAACCAAAACTGGAAAAACTTCCTCTGTGCATTATAGCCACTTGGAACATCAAACTAAACAAACACGCAAACTAAGCAACCTTTCCACATCTGATCACTGTCAATATCTAGTGCAAATGTACATGTACGCCTACCGTACCAGTACACGGTGGAGCAATAAACAGCACATATACATGTATGTCATTATGCCAGATGATATACATATTGTAGCATTAACAGGACCCTCTTCAAGTAGGTCATTGCTAAACTAACATTGATAAAGCAACCTTGAGTGAAGAACACAATATCCAATCTTACTGATTACAAAGTGAAACAATTCAAAATATGCTTGGTCCCCAAATCTGAGAACACAGCATGTAGTGTTTAGAGTGACTACACTTCTGTAGACTTGAAAGAAGAGAGCAGATTCTGTAAACGTGGAAGTTGCTGTTTTTCCAATTTCTTTTTTTGGGGGGGGGGGTCAGCAGGCAGACAAGCGGGAGTCCCAGCAATTTGTAACATTGCCTGCTACTTACTGCTCTTAAAATAACAGACCTCAGCACTCAACAAGAGACCAATGGACAGTTACACAAGGGACCCAACAATATGCAGGTTGGAAAAACTAAAAAACGACACACCTGGGCATTCCATTTTATTTTTTCAGGGGGGAGGTTGGACTTTATTTTACATGGTATTTCTGGAGATTCTGCACTTTTTCCACATGCTAGCTTAATGCAAGGTAACAAATAGAAAAGATCGCGTAACGGGATGGTTTAATCATGGATTTTTACCT